TGTTGCCCATAACATGTCATGATCCACAGAGTTGAAAGCCTTTTTGTAGTCAATAAAGCACAGGTAAACATCTTCCTGGTATTCTTTGCTTTCAGCCAAAATCCATCTGACATCAGCAATGATATCTCTTGTTCCATATCCTTGTCTGAATCTGACTGGAACCTTTGGCAATTCCCTGTCAAAATACTATTGCAGCTATTTTTGAATTATCTTCAGCAATATGTTATTTGGAGATATTAGTGATATTGTCCTATGATTTTTGCATTCTGTTAGGTCACCTCTTTTTGGAATGGGCACAAATATGCATCTCTTCTAGTCAGCTGATCAGGTAGCTGTCTTTCAAATTTCTTGTTATAGATGTGTGAGTGTCTCCAGTGCTGCATCAATTTTTTGAAAGATTTCAATTTGTACTCCATAAATTCCTGGTGCCTTGTTCTTTGCTGATGCCTTCAGTGACTTTGGACTTCCTCCTTCAGTACCATTAGTTTTTGTTCATATGCTACCTCTTGAAATGGTTGACCACTGATCATTTCTTTTTGGTACAGTGACTCTGTGTATTCCTTCCTTCTTCTCTTGATGCTTTCAGCATCATTCAATATTTTCCCCATAGAACCTTTCAATATTGCAAATCAAGGCTTGAATTGTTTCTTCAGTTCCCTCAGTTTCAAAAATGCTGAGTGTGTTCTTCTCTTTTGGTTTTCTAAGTCCAGTTCTTAGCACATTTCGTTATCATATTAGTATATGAATGATATTGTTGCTGTTGTTATGTGCCGTGGAGTCAGTTCCGACTCATAGCGGTAAATCTTTACGGGAGCAGAAAGCCTCATCTTTCTCCTGCAGAACAGCTGGTAGTTTCGAACTGCTGACCTTGCGGCTTGCAGCCTGATTCGTAACCACTACGCTACCAGTGTCCAATTATTATCTGTTAGATCGACAAATAAATGAGCTGATTCAAGGAGGGGCCTTGGTGGCACTGTGGTATAAGCACTGGACTGTTTGTCACAGGACAGTCCTCATACCCACCGGCACTCTGGGAGAAAGAGGTTTTCTGTTCCCATGAAGATTTACAGCCTCAGCAACTATACAAGGTTGCTATGAATAGGATTCAACTGGATGGCAGTGGGTGGTTGAGCTGCAATTTAACATACTGTCAGGAAGCTAATTACATTTCTTAGTGTATTTTTTAAGATGAAAGTAGAAAACAAGACAGACTTGAAACTTTATGGATGGAAATGGGAAGAATAATTAGCAAAACTATTCTCCATCTTTGCATCTTTCCATAGAAAATATCACTCACAGCTATGGCGAATGAATGCAAGGGCAGTGACCTGGTTTCACTCCTGCATAGAGAGCTAAAGATTACCAAGGGTCTGGCAAAAAGAGAAATAAACCGTGGGCCACGCAATTGTTCCAAACAACTCGGCTTCCCACTGCTTTGTGCTGATGGCATTTGGGGAGCAAATGATGTAGGATTTATGCAGGCCTTTGCCTGTATGGAAAGGGACACCCACGTGGGGTGTTTATGTCACAAAGCCAGGACAAAAGCTCAACAAAAGAGTAATGTGAGCCAGAGGTGACAAAGCAAAACATTACTTGTCTGGCATAACTCTATCTATCTGGATAAAATGCTCACAGCTGGCCTGGGAACTTGGAACATTCTGGTAGCTAACACTTGGGTTGGACACCCTCGTTCTCTTTTCTTTGATAAATCTGTGCTTCTCCAGGGGACTGTGAGCCTTGAGTGCCGAGTGGGTTTTGTTGACCCTGTATTCTAGGGTGTAGTTCAATGTCTGGAACACAGTAGGTGCTCAATGAATACATACTGAGTTTCTAATAATAATTGTTGAATTTATGTGGCCTTTGGGTGTGCCAAGGAGCCCTGGTGGCACTCTGGGGTAAGCAGTGGGCTGCTAATTGCAAAGTCTATGGTTCAAACCCACCAGCTGCTTCATGGGAGAAAGATGAAACTGTCTGATCCCGTAAAG